CTCACGCCCTTTGACAGTCTTGGAACAGAGGGAACACAGACTTCAGCGAGAGGCAGTGTGTTAGAAGTTTTCGATCCCTTGCTTTCTGGTTGTCAGCAAGAAAGTAAGCTGACAGAAGAGATGCAACAACTAGCAGTGGAACAGAACAGAGGTACAAACAAACAGACTGATTGACATAGTGAGAAACATAATAATGTGGTCCGTGGTGCAGGGTCTTCCTTGTGAAGTTGATTGTTTCTTGGCTGATTAAGAAATCCCCTTCTTTTCATGGAATTTTAAAATTAATTAATTTTTTAACAAGAGCCTATCAAAGCCAGTTGACTCCAGTCCACACTCCCACACCCTGTTCTTTATGATCTGTTTTAATATTATCTCTATGTTTAGTTATCTCAAGTGATCTTTTCCCTGGAGGTTTTCCATATGGCACTTTGTATGCATTTCTTATTTCCTCCCACATGCTACGTGTCCCAACCATGTCATCCTCTTGATTTATTCATCTAAATAATTGATGGAAAACTGTATAAATTATTAACCTTTTTTTTAAGTCAGAAAATTGTGGGGAGGTGAAATGCTTGAAGAAAGAGACGATTCCTAGCCAACTGCCAAGATTCAAGTACTAAATTACCACTGTATTTATCCACCATGAGGCCCAAAATAAGATTGACATCTTAAGTAACTCTGTGAAGCAAATCTTTCTTGAAAAAATTGTTTTTGCTTATGAGGTCAAGAAATTGTTTGTTTTTTAGGTCATATTTTTGCTCCGTCATAAGCGAAGAACATGGACCTGTTTTTTTCTGTCCATCTATTTGTAGCCTCTTTCAGCCAAAGAGATTATGCCGTGTGTCGGTGGTCATACAAATTACATTTTCTGACATGATTGTAGAATGGCTGATCAGATTTATGTGAAATTTGGCATGAAGGTTATATGCAGTTAGAGGCTAGTCCAAACTCATTAATTTCATACAATCTGTAATACCAAATGTAATGCTCAAAGTTGAGAGATTTTCTTTGCCATTGCACCATTACCCATTATCCTTTATAATTAAATAAACCAAGAAAGATAAATAAGTTACCAGTTACTGGTAACAGATATGTCAGTCTGTATAATAAGTGTGATTTGTGATTTCAGAATATGTTGAAGACGAGTCAGATTCAGAGAGCTCTATGAGTTTTTATGATGCGTATGATCCATTTGACTACTTGGATGGGTCAGGAACATCTGGTGATCCACTGTATGCAGCTGTTGTGAAGGATCGCACTCCAACAGCCTTATCTCCCCCACCCCCTCTACCTCCGCGCAATTCTACCATTGAAAGACGGAGAACATCAGTGGAACGAAGGGCAGGCAAATTGTTCTAACCAGTTATTTTTAATCTTTGCCACCAAATATGGGGCTGTAATACGCATGTAATTGACAGTATTTT